GGAGCATGGATCCCAGTCTGTTCCTAATCTCACACCTCTTCTGGCTGGGGCCAGTCAAAGTTCATCTGAATCTACCAGGCAGCCCAGGAATTCACAGGTTATTTTGTTACTTAACAAATCCAGGTGTTCCTATCAGCTCAGCAGTGAACTATTATTTCTGCATAATAATTCCAAAAGCCTTTTATTTACCTGCCCTTCCTGCCCCTGACTATGATCAGAAGAGTAGGTGGCAGGGAGCAAAGCCTGATTCAGCAGCAGCTATTGCTCATTTTCTTGTCACTCTATAGGTCACTGGCGGGCAGAAATCTCTGTGGAAATGCATCTAAAAATATTTTGAAAACTTGGCCTCCACTGAGGAGCAAATTAAGTGGTGACTCATGCTCCCACCAGCTCCAGACTCGATTACTGCAATTTGGGGGACTGAGAAGCCAATGCTCCACCGAGACTGCAATTTGCTTAGGGGAGCAGCTGAGAGGCCTCATTGGCATTCATTGTTTCCAACACATCTCTCTTGTCCTTTTAATCACTAATACATTTAATTTCACTTCTAACTGAAGATCTCACTCTCCACCCTTCTGGCAAGAGGAACAATCCAGAGGCTGCTTTCATGACCTCTGCTGTAGCTTTAGATGCCGGCACAAAGCAGACTTGCCTGGAGCAATGCCTCCAACCTGCATTTCCCAGCATTGCTTTCTCTAGTCCTTCACAGCTTGTCCATGCAATTCCAGAAGATGCCTTACCATCCTGCAGGATGCTCTCTGTTGAATGAGAATTTTACAGGAACAGGACACATCAGCTTGGAGGAATTTAAGTCAAAATGCCTCCTCATAGAAGCCTCAGTCTAATGATCATGAGCAATAGTGTGGTTGTAGCAAGAAAATGGCAGAGGAGACCAAATCCCTCATCCCTCTCCTGACATTGTTCTGACAGGATGCTGCAAGTTTTGGTCTGGGAGACTGGGGCTACCCCATGGAAATAGGAACAAAAGATATTTGGTTTGTACGATTCTGGAAAGGGCAGGCCATCAAATCTAAAGTAAAATACTCTTCATTTAGTCTCATCATGTGCTACATTATCCCCGAGCTTTGTTAGAACGATGGCAGGGCTCTTCAAACAGCTTCCCTGGGGAGACTGCTCTGCAGCTTAACAACCTTGCACTGGAGATGTGCAAGTGTAACCAAGGGCAGAATTTAGTCTCTTGTCTATTTAACGTGTTTGCTAGGGACTGCCTGTGTTCCTGGCACTTTATAATAACAGTAATATAAATGCATTTGGATTATAACCAAATGGAGAAACTATGATTTAGCCCTTTACTGTGTTGTAATTCCCAAATGCATCAACATTTATTTAAGTGCAAAACAGTCTACAGTTTACAAATACAAAGCTGCGATTGTCTGCTTTAAGGGTTCTGTATGAGATTATGATTCAATACAAAACACAATTCAGTGTCTGAAATTTCATTTTTAATGGCAGAAAAACATCAAAAAAAGTAGCTCCTTCTCCATATGCAGTCTTGCAAAAAAAAATATATCCCAGGGACTTGGCCCTTTCTAGTCATTTCTACATATATAAGTGCTCATCTCTTATGCACGTACGCACTCGCACATAAATCAATGTGCTTGCAGACAGACCATATTTCATCTTGCCTTCTAACCTCCCGCTGTCAAGATATTTCCACAAAAAATGTAACAAATAAAACTAACAGCTCCTTTTTCCTTGACTGCCAGAGCAATGTAGGAGACTACTTCTGTACAACCAAGCTCCTTCTGCTCTGTGAACAAGCACAACTGCGCAGCTTCTGCTGAGGCTGCCTTTCTACCACACAACCTGCTCACACTAACTAAAGGATCAACGAGAAAAAAACAAACACATCTTTGATTTTAACTACAGGAAAAATTGTTTATCTTGATACGTCACTGGAGTTAATCAAAAGCTTTTCAATTTAATGCACAAAAAGGGAAATAAAATGTTTCCGTAATTCAACACAAAGTGCTAAAATTGCCCATGACCTCTGAAGTGCTGTTTTATTGTTTGGGTGGGTTTTTTTCCTCTGCTATCACTGGATGGGATTATGGAGAAGCAGAAATAGAAAGTGTTGATGATCATGAAGAGAATCTTCATGTTGTAACATGTGGCAAAGTTCTCATTTGCCATCAGTTTTGCCTAATTATGTTTAATATCAGTTATTTATAAAGTTATATTTAAAAGAGTTTTTCTAACCCTTTACTGAAAAACTGTTTAGGTTCAATGAATTAATTTTCAATTGATGACAATTAGCAGCATTTTGAGGACTTTCTTCCCCAGAGTTCATAAAGTATTTCCAGACAGTTAATGGGCTTTTGTTTTAAAAAACAAGCAAAAAGTTTAAAAGCTCACCCACAAAGGAATAAAACAGACAACAGAGGAAAAAAATGTGACCTAAAGGATAAATAATTTTATCTTGTTTTCCTTTTAACAAAATTGAATTCAAAACCATTCTGTTTATTAAAGACATATAGCAAGTCATAAAACAAACATCTTAACAGTCTTAACAGAATTGATGTGCACAATTCAGTTTCATTAAGTATGAATTTAAAATATGTATTTCAGTTTAGCTTGATATTCCCTTTAGACCAACACCTCCAACACTTATACACAATATTTAAGCTGCTCCAAAGCAATCAACAAGGACTTTGTAAAGTGACTAACAAAACTACGTTGTAAAACAATTTGAAATAGTCTTAAATGTTGAAAAAAAACCAACCCAAAAACAAAGGATGTGTTCAATGGAATCTAAGCAAGTTGTTGGAAGTACTGAAAGGCAGAGATTCAGTACACAGAGGTAGCTCAGTAAGGGTACTTGCAGTGTTCTGATTATTTAGCGTTGACACAACCGCAGTCAGCTACTGTCTGCTTGAACTCCTGCTATGTATTTTGAAAAGGGAATACTGCCTCTGGGCCTGTTGTCTCACCATTCAAAACCAACAGAAAGAGTCATTGATTTCAGTGGGATTGGGATTAAGTCTTTATATTCTCTGGAAATTCAGGTTTATGGAAGTAGAACATAAAGAAACCACCCTGAGTCTGGACACTGTCCCCTGCTACAAGCAGGGTTTTAAACCCAGAGGAATTTTTCCCCATATGGAACCAGTTACCACTTAGAATGCTTAAGGAAGTGGAACCTTGAATTTGGCCCAGGAACTCTCCATTTCCTGGCAGGCCTGTTGGTGGATCTGCCTGTGCTGCCTGGGAATGCACTGATCAAACTGTGAGCTCACTGCCCAGTGGGAAGAGAGCAGAACCCTGGGGACATGGGCAGTGGGCAGTGTCCCTCAGCTCTCTTGCCTACTCAGCAGGGAGAGCTTGATCCCCCCTCCAGGGAAGGAAAGAAGGTGGCATGTGCCACCTCCCATAACTTTGTCACATGGTCCTTTTATTGGTGTGCCAGTTCTGAGCAGGGTGATGCTGTCAGCTCCCTGCAGTTTCTCATACAGATGGCAACAGGGAGTGGCCATCACATAAAGCACCGAGGATTGGTACTAAATTACTTTTATCCTGTTGTTCACAGGACTGGGAGTAACAGACTAGGTAAACCAAGCACGTGTTTTGTTTTTCAGTAAGGCAAAAGGATATGAATTTCACATGCCTATTGTCATACAGAAGATCTTCAGCTTGTATTAAGGCTTACAGCCTTATCAGAGCTCTTATCACCTACATTTGCTAGAGACTTGCTCTGAGGTGTTTGCACTCAGCCACACCTTTAGCTGCAATGTTAACCATGACACACATGGAAGCTCTGTATTTATATTGATCCCACATTGACCTATTCCTTTCCTTACTTAATATTTTAATGCACAATTGCCAGCACAGTTTTTGCAGAGGGGCACACCCCTCAGTCTGGACTAGAGCATGTTTCTGAAATCTTCATCTCCCAGACAAGATGTAGTGCTGGCTGCATGTTTAAATATATGCCTGCATTCCTTTCTCTTCAATGCCTAGAAATAGTATTTTGTATTCTTTTTCACCTAAGTTTATTAGAAAGAGTAATATTATTTTTTAAAAAGTTGTGATTGATTGTCAAATGAGCTAAGATAGTGTTTCTGTTACTTTAAGGATCCTTTTAATGAGCAAAAAAATAATAAATTGTCAACTTTCTTGTCCTCATAAGCTACTCTTCATTACCAATGCAGTAATAGAGAAAACATAGCTTGGCTTATTACAATAAAGGCTCTGTTTCAGCATCCTAAATTCTCTGTGCAGGTCGCTGTGCATTGCACAGGGGGAAGGTGAAGAAAAAAAGAAAACCAAAAATTAATGTTCTTTAGGGGTAAATGATAAAAAGATCTCCTAGCTGCAAACACAAATACTTCACTCATAACCCAAGCACCAGACCATTTCTTTGAAGAAGCTTATGAGGCATTTAAGATATACAATGGCACAATATCATACAATGGAATTGAAAGAATTTTTTGAGCTACCATTAACTTTGAAGGAATGTCTAGACAACTGTGTCAACAAATGCAAATAATTCATGCTTTTCAGCTTCTATCCATTGGATGGCCCCATGCTGAGTATACACAAACTCAGAAGAAAAAGGCATGTCACAGTCATATGACTAGGGAGTGTAACAGAGTCACACAGAAATTCAAGTCAATCTCAGAAAAAAAAACCTTCAGAAAGCTCTTCCCCAAGAGAAGAGCTGGTAAGCCAGCAGTGGGATAGGCTCCTGGTCATTTTGGCTAGTTCAAAACAGAGACTTGCTGCTGGTGCACCCTGGCTTCAAAGCAGGGGCAATGGAAGAACCAGCTGTCAGTCATGACCATTCACTCGGTTAGAAAAATAAACTAATGGACTCCAAAATACTGTACAACCTCTTGCAGCAACCAACAAAGTGGCTTCTGAAAACAATGCTTTTGCCAAAATGCATCTGTAAGGCACTTAACAGGTATCTTTTAATATATATATATATATATAGATATATATAAAAAAATAAAATATGCACTAAAGCAACATTCACAAAACCCAACTGTGTCAATTGTCCGTGTGTACAGTATAGTACATATATACATTCACTGTGACACAGGCCATCTCCACAATTATACCTTCACGGGTGCTTTGGGCTGCCTGGTTAATTTCAGTGCCTGTGAACAGGAAACAAAACAGTCACTTTTTTATACCCTTAAAAGACAAGCAACAGCACAAGGTAAGAGTCTCATTTATAAAGGGCAGCAAAACACTGTGTGTACTTCTGAGTGGCTGATAGAGGAGTCAGCGTGCATCCGACAGGCTGTGGGCTCTGAGATGATGCTTGTGTCTCATAGCCCATCACAGCCTCCCCTTGCACAGAGAGCCTTACAGGGGAACCACAAGGACTATGGCTACAGTGCCAGTGAAGGAAGCAGAGATGGGTCTCAGGTGCCTTTTACAGAGTGACCACTTGGACCCTACTCAAACCACTCGTGGCACAGCTAGAAGAGCTTCAGACTCACTTAAGGAAAGACAGTGAAGAAAGTGTGTGCCAACACCTTTGTGTCCCTGGCTTCCTTCCACATGGCTCAAAGCCTGCTCAGAGGATAATCACTGCTGCAGTGGTGGATGTCATGCACCTTTGATATTTATACCCTCCTTTCTGAGAAAAGGTAAGAAATAGCCAAAGTCCATCAGCCCAGAGGTGATCTTATGCAGGGGACACTTGACACCTTTGTAGCTCCATTGTTGCTGAGGAAGAAAGAAACCTCTTTCTTTTCTGACAGCAGGGTCCAGCTCTGTGTTCCTCACAGGGCTGGCCAATTATGGTGGCTGAGATATTTATTCAGTGTGTGACAGAAGTTCAGCTCAGTGCTCATGCTTCCATTTTGGCAGGAAGCAGCCTCTCTAAGTAAGGAGAGAAATGTGATAGGCTCAGAAAGCATTAGGTTTTCAGCTGCTCCTGGGCAGCAGTGTGGGCACTGGGAGGGATGCTGGCTTTTGGTGTGCTCAGCAGCAAAAAAAGTCTCTGTGCCTTCTTAGGTGGGACAAATTGGCCCAGGTGAGAGGAATTTAGACAAATTAGCAAATTCCTGAAATTTCGAACCTCTGTTTTTCTGAAGGAAGTCTTTTGGGTGAAGAGCCCTGACAGACTGGCATTTGTCTGACTTCTTGTTTCCAGCAGGTTGGCTAAACAAGGAATTTTCAGTCTGAGAGATGCCTGATGGGGCTTCTTATTATAGATATTAACCTTTAATATTGTACACTTAAAGCTTGTAAGCACTGCTTGAAAATCACTCCAGCACAAATGTAAACCCTTAAAAAAAAACCCCAAACCTTTAAAAATAAATGGGATATATTCCCCTCAGAAACACCAGCATTTAACTATTGTTAAATCCAGCCCTTGGAGATTAGACTTTTGGATATTATTCAGCAAGAGACTTTGGAGAGAGAGACATCATTCCACACTTTGTTTGGGGAAACAATTTTTTAACTTTGTAGTTTGGCAGATTCTGCTGCCATATTTACAAAGTAGAAATACCTTAGTGTAGATGAACCTCTAAATATTTAAATTCAATTTCATACAACCCGATCACATGTACTATCATAATTAAGTAAGAATGTCACTGCAGTTGAGTACTGTGACTGGATAACTGCCTCCCCCTGCAAGAGAGATGCCAAAATGAAGCCAAGGTGTTTGTAGAAAATAAACATCAAGGGTGATGATGACATGTTTATTTTCAAAGCAGGAGACCATTATCCAGTCACAACATTCACTTCTATTATACTTATTGCAACTGTACCAGAGCCAACCTCATTGATTTTTTTCAAAGAGTAATTAAAATAACATTTGTGAATAATACAGAAGACCAACTGAAGAAACTGCAGCAATAGAACAACAATCCCCCAAAGTGGTTCTACAGTGGCATTACAGTCTGCTTAGCACAGGAGGTTTATTTGATGCTTAATGAATAAGAAACTAGTGCTGGTGAACTGTAAATCTCTCCAGTACTGCTTGACTGTTCTGATGCTCTGTTTAAAGGCTGTTTTAATTTGCAGCAGCTGACAGCAGCCCCTAAAGGCCATTACTGCCCTGAGAATCAGGGAGGTCTGGAGGAGCTCCAGTCCCACTCCTGACAAGCTGAAGAGAAGTCAGCATTGCAGGGACTGTTCTGTCACCAGCAGCACAAACTTTAGGCTTTTTTCCTACAGGAATAGCATGGAATTTTCTTTACACTACCCATAAAGTCTCCTGATAATTTCTGATTAAAAGAAAAAACATAATTTTCAGACTGATGGATAATTGCCACTGGATTCTCAGATTTTCATTTTCAGATACTCAGACCAGTATATATTAATTAGGTCTGATTTCTGAACACAGTTTCTGAAAACTGAGAGTTTTCCTGCTTTTTACAGTTCAGATAACACATGAAAATCACCGATTTGGGATTTTAGCATTCAAGATAGCAAGGCTACTTTAGTGGTGTGAAGCTGTAAAATGACAGCCACTGGGTTTTGCTGAAAATTGGAATTATGAGTGTTGGCAATAAAATTTCTCCACTGCTAAGTGGAGAATGCAGGGTGCTGATGGAGCTGGGCTTCCCACAGTAGTTCTCACCGAAAATGGCTGCCAAAGGTTGCTTCAGTTGCTGCAGCTTCTTGATCTTTATTATCTCAGAACATTAAAAGACAGCATTAAATTCGATTTCATGGACTAGCTTTTGCAGGGTGGTTATTCTGAGAACCTGACTAAAGCCACTGCAATCATTTTACATAGATCACAGAATGGCTGTCAGATGCCAATACCTTCAATTTGTACTGAAATAAGCATAATTTGAATCAATGATGTTGATTCCAAACCCTCTAGGTTATAGTCTATAATCCTACAAGTTATCCCATGCCTTAATTTTGACATGAAATGGGATGACCCAGACTGCTGTGGACTTCTTGCTATTGTAAAGGGTGACACAAATGGGGGGGGGGAAGGGGAAAAAAAGTTTTCATCCTGCTTCAATCCAGTTCAGAAAGTGTCCTTTTTTTACCTCATTTCCCCAGCTCCCATGCCAGCCAAGATATCTTTGTCACTTCTCCATAAAGGAGATCCAAAGCTGTGATTATTAGTCAGCTAATGGATGGAGACATTCTTATGGGGCATATTCTGAATTCGTAATTTGAATGAATTTGTAACTTGAATTAACTGTAGAGATCTAACTTCATGCTTTGAACTTTTTCAGAGTCTCTTCAATCCCCTTTTCAAGCAAGATAAAGTTCTGCACTTTTATTTTGATACTGCTGTGATTCTCACTGTTGTAGAGGAAACAAGGAAGTAGAAAAATCCCAACCATAGAAGGAACCCCAGGGAGTTTTAGGACATGTGTTTTGGTATTTTTCCCCTCACAGTACACTTGCCATTATAAATCAAATCCAGAAATCCTTACCTTTTGCCTAGAAACCATCCAGGATTTTATTGTTGGTACCAACAGACTGCCAAGAAGGATCTGAGCAGGATGATAGATGAGCAAAGGGACGGAAATTAAGGACAGGTATTCATAACCTGCAAATACTATCTTCAGCATGGGAATCCCTGCAGGCAGAAAAACAGGAGACAGACTCTCACCTCAGACTTTGAGCTCCAGATAAAAGCAAAGCATTTTATATAGCACTGACATTTCACAATAAAAAAAAAACAAACCCAAGAGTTGAAATGTTTTATATATTAAAAATCCAACCCAAATGAGCAAGAACATGAATACAAAAAATACACGGCAGAGAAAGTTCTGTGGCAGAAAGGGTGGAGTAGGGAATGCCATAAAAGATCTTTTCTAATGATGCTAATATTGCAGTAAATGAAAACTGCTGCTGAAGACTTGATATACATTCTGCTATAGCACGACTGTTCTGACTGTTCAGTTGCTGACCACAGTTCTGTACTGCTTCTTTACTATCTCCACTCACTGGGCTGTTCTGTGTTCACATGATTGTCCTGCATCCAACCTGCCCAACTCCTGCTTGTAACCTTTGCAACCATTCTTTGGTCTGTTCTCCACTGGAGGAGGGTCATGTTTTGCTTGTACATTCCCTCCAGTTGGTGAGCATCCAAATGAGAGCCTTCCCTGCTTTGACTGATCCATGAGACACAAAAGATTTAGTCAGCTGGGTGAGCAATGTGAAGTGATCCTGCCCACAAAGAGTTAGCAGCAGCTGGAGTACAGAAGGTGCTAGATGCTGGAAGAAGTGTGTGCTAAGACCTAGAGATGGGCCATTTTTTCCAAGAGCAGGAATTTGCATTTTTCCAAGAGCAGGAATTCAGCAGTGCTAATTCTATGAGATATCTCCATGCACAATCTTCCTGCTTGACGATGTGATACGTAAAAATAAGTTTATTCACTTCTGCAGTAATGAAACCAATTATGCCTACTTTGAACATATTACAGTTCAAAATTATCTGTTTAAATCTTGGAACTTTGCTAGCATGCTCCACAAAGTGCAGGTGTGGACAAAACCTGCAACCAGCTCTGTCTTGCCTGACCAGATATTTGCACAGCTGCCAACAAGAGCAGCTGTGATTCCTCAGGAGCCTCCTGAGAATGCACCTTATTTTCTCTCTCTATTTTCTCTCTCATCTTAAATGTCACTCTAGGAGTCCTCTGCCAGCACCAACCTTGACGTGAAGCAGACTGCACATGCTTTTCACAGAGCTCATCTGAGTGTCTCACAGAATCACAGAGTGCTTTGGGTTGGAAGGGACCTCAAGGACCATCTTGTTCCAGCCCCTTGCCACAGGGATACCTTCCACCACACCAGGTTGCTCCAATCCCCATCCAGCCTGGCTCTGCCTTGTCTCCTTTCTCAGCAATGACAAAACATTGAGCTTTGTGCCACATACACATTTGCATTATATTTATATTACATAGGCCTGTAATTTACCTTAAATGCCCATCATACTGTTTTTGTAAACAGATAAAGGTTTTATTGCCTGTTTCCATATCTCAAATTGACCCTCATGGGTCCTTTTCTATTTTCTAATCACAGAAAAATACACTAGAGTCCCAAGCTATAAACATGCTGTATTTCTGTTTGTAAGACAGTACCTGGTGTTTTGGTAGTGCAATTTCATCCACAGATCCAAAAACATTTTAGAAAGCTGAAGAGGGCTCCTACAGAGAATCAGAAACACTACAATGACTAGCCTAAGATCACACAGAAACTAATGGCACAGATGTGAACAGAATGCATCCAAAGTGACTGAGACATGCTTTAGATAACTGTACATTTTCTGAAAGAAATAAAAGAAATTCCAGCTTAAAAGGTAAATTCTCTAGAGGAAAACTATTTCTGTAAACTAGGAAAAGAAAATTAAAGTTGTCAAATAGAAATACAAAGTACTACAATTAGCGTGACAATATAATTAGATCACTGGGTAGAAAGAGGTTCTTAATTCACAGCTTGTTTAAATACATGTCACAACAACAGGTTCCTGGAAGCTACTAATGTGCAATTAAAGTTCCTATTATTTACCAGGAAATGCTAACTGATGAAAAGAAGAAATAGTAATAATTTTTGCAGGTAAGGACTAGTCTAATGGAAAGAAAAGAAACCCAACCTCATTGCCTTTTCATGCACTTTCTGATCTTTATAATTCCAACTTTGCCAGTATGCAACTCTCTCAGAAAATATTTCGTGACAGCGATCCCCATAGTGTAGTCCCAAAGGCTTGTGTCAGTAACATTACCACAAAGCTAAACTAAACAGCATGAGTGTTATTTATTTTTTAAAATGCCATCTAAACTTTTTAGTAGCAATATGTAGTAGCTGCAAGCATCAGTATGACTGCTAATGTTTTCCAAACATATAAAACCCATGCAAATATCTAATTAGGGAAAACATGCTCTAATAGTTACTTCTACCTCTTTTAAAAGAAAACACAAAAACATTTTTCTCACATATATATTTATATGTATATAAGTATACATATATAAACACTTGGGAGAAAAAACAAACACTGAAGGCTCATGCCAAAAACCACTTCTTCATGCTGCTGTGGTTTATGGAGTTACAAGCTTCCAGCAATCTGGTTCAACTCTCTGCCAAAGACCCTCACTTCCTAAATATCACGAGACCTGAATAACAAAGTTGTCTTCTGTGCTTTGGTGCTAAGTTGGTCAGCTTTGCTCAAAGTGGGGGTTTAACAAGCTTCCCATCTTCCTCCAAGGACAGGAGTGGGATGGGACAGCAGCACCCCACCTGACTAGAACTACAGAGAGCTGCAGCAGAAGGGAGAAGAACCAAAGATTGTTCTACAGGTATTCCTTTCAAACAAGATCATTGGTATTCCCAGCTTTTTACCTCAGATTTTCCTCTTCCCCTTTGTTTGGATATGTTTCTCCTACCAGTGCTCCCCCATGTTCCCTTCTTCCTCCTTGCTCTTTGGTCCTGGTGTTCAGAGGCTCTTTTTCAGTTTGTGTTTTCTCCCTTCCTCCTTTTCCCTCCTCCACTCCCATGCTTTCAGCCTCCAAGGCTTTGCTTCCCAAGACCTTTGATTCTGGTCATTGCAGCCATGTAAGTTTTGGGTATTTCCACTAAAATCACTCAGCTCCACTAAGGGCAGGGGCACCAACATCACAGTCCCACTGCAGTTGAGAGAAGTCAGGTCTGTGACAGGGAGCACATTGCAGTTTTCTCCCTTTTTTGTGTCCTCACTCAGCTCTTCTTTTTCCACATTAAGCACTTTGCAAACCTGAGGAAAGCAAAGGAAACTGTTTATCCTTGACCTTCAATAGCAGCAAGGAAGAGTGAGAGAGCTGCTCTTGCAGCTTCCATTGCTCCAGGGTGTTCCAGCTTGGCTCCAAGGCTGTAGATTATCAGCCCTGGCCAAAGGCCACTGTTTCTTTATTAACCTGATCAACTGAGAGCTACTTAATCCTTCCCCCAGTCTGCACCCAGTATAGCCTCCCACATCCTCCCCTTTCCCCTTTGCTATGTTCACATTTCCTAAAAGGCCCATGAAAATATTATGCTGCACTTCACTACATTTAGTTAACTGTAAAATAATAATAATAAAAAAACCTAAAAGATTTGAAGGTATTTTAAAGATAATTTAAATATAGGACTCTTTTCATCTAGCTATCACTGCAGTAATATAAATGAAGCAAATTAATTTTAATGCTCCAAGGTTCTGATTCTGTGTCACTGTCACTGACAGGATCCAACTAGACTTTATGAGATGGCATTTGACTTTATGGAAGTGAGCACTATGCACGCATTTACAATTTTACAGGGACTTTAAGCTGTCATGCTGAAAAATGTTTATAAAACATTAATCAAAAAATGCCTCTTTAATACAATGCATTGTCTGAAAGATGTTAGAAGGCACATATTGTAAATGGATTCTTTTTCTGACTAAAGTAATTTCTACCAAAAGCCTTTCCCCACTGCTATACAAGTACACAGTGTGGAGAGATAAAGAGCACTTTCTCAGCACATTACTACCTGATCCAAACACTTGGGAAATCACTAATGTACAGCATGCCATATTTCCATGTCACACATGACACATTTGTCTAAAATTACCCAACAGAGTTTGACATTGCAGCATATTCCTTAGCAGAGCTTTCAACTGACATCTGCCAAGTAAGAACTTCAAGTTGGAGCTTTCTTCTTCTAACAAGCAAGTAAGAGTTTTCTTTTATCCTATACCCATGATGGAAATGATAAAACAATAAGCACTGGAAATCAGGGGGTTTTTTTTCTATTTTAATATGTTTATTTTATGCTTGCTGGATGTGTAAGCTCCCCTTAAAGCACTGTTTCATCATTTGCTGTTTTCTATCACATTGCAATGGGTTCATAGAACTTAATAGAACATTTTTATTACCACTGAAACACAGGCCATTATCTCTCACACCCAAAGCAGAATTATTGCTAGTGCTCTACTTCCATACTTCACTGCATAGGTTTTTTTCCCTTCAATGTCTTCATAACAAACAATTTATCCTAAACCTTTATTGCCTACATTACTGAAACACATTCCACATCACAAAATGCTGCAGCATTTCTTCTCAGGAAAAGAGATTTGGGGCAAAACAGTGAGGTCATCCTAGGGCTATGGAACCATCAGGCAATCAGGATGCCAAAGAACCCTCACAAAGAGGCAGTGGACATACTTGGAAGAAAAGCTTTAGCCTCTGAATTTTTACCTCTCCCTTGTACTTGTGAATGCATTTCAGAACTTTCAATTGCTACAATCTTCAAGTGCAATCCACAAAATGAATCAAGTGCATGATAGTAGCTTCTCTGATGCTCTCCACGCCACTCTCTTACTGAAGGATCCTCTCAGGCATTGATGTGAAAGGAGCATTATTGGTCCAACAGCTATTTCTTTTTTCATCTGAGAAAAGGCCTGTAAAGAGGGGCTTATATTGTGCTGAACCTCTCCCAGGCTGCCAGAGCAGGGAGGGTCTGAATTTATGCTGCAAAGATAGAGCCAAACAAGCACCTGAAATTTGACTGCCAAGTTTCAGAACAGCTCTGCTTGGAGCCCAGTGGGTGCATGGTGGGAAGGGCTGGTAAGGTTCAGCCAGTGCC